TCGTAAGTTGGAAAATAACTCCGAAAAACTGGGCAATTTTCAACTTTAACGTATATCGTACAAATACGATAATTATCGTACGTCTTGCAACACTGCTCATTCATATGATTTCGGCCAAATAGTGAGAGAGTACCACTCGCAACACTAATCATTTGTAGTGCGCATGTCGTACGCGTTTTATTTGTGCATCGGTCGCCTTTTGACAGAGTAGGTGAGCTGTGTTTATGCCGTTGGTGTTTATGCCGGTCGGCGTAGCTAGATATGGATTAAAATTTTCTGGTGGCGGCGAAGCCACCCTACGAGAAGTCCTTGCTTCGTCTTCTGGTTGCACGGCATTATTATTATTATTTGTTCATGTATGTGAAATTTGCTCCTTAGGTTTATAAAATACTACTGCTAGTTTCAAAAATCAATCCAACATAGCGTTTCTTGTTTTTATTTTAAGGTGTTTCTGTTAAATTTTGATTTGTGTTGTACGAGATGGCTTTCTGGAGACCATTTGAGGTAAATGTAGATGCTAATGAATTGCAGGGTAATGATGATATTCACATTAATAATGAAATTGCAATAAATAATGAAATTCAGAATAATGATGAAGTACAATCAAATGCAGTACAAATTAATGATGAAATACGTATTAATAATGCAATTCAAAATAATGACAATCAAGGTGAAACACAATCTTGGGAATTCAAAAACCAAGACTTACATATTCAAGTTCAACAGGTCATTTTAAATATGTTTGTTTGTCTTAAATCAGAAAATCCAAATATTTCACAAACAGATGCAGTTAAAAGAATATGTAAGTTAACAAAAATTTCCTATTCCACAATTTATGACGGTATTAAACGAGGCGTTATTGAACACAGTCAAAAAAGAAAACGTATCGTCAGCCGTCGGATAGATGATGCATCTAAAGATGTGATTCGACGAACGGTTTACAACACGTATAAAGAAAACCAAGTCTCAACCTTAAGGGCCCCACTCACCTCGTTCTTTTCCGCCGTTTTTAACCGACGGTTAAAAACGTCAGAGTAAAAATGTCACAAAAACGAGGTGTATGGGCAAGAACGTCGTTTATGAACGTCGTTCAAAAATTCAGGCGAGTCTTGATTTTTGACGGTTATCGTGCCAACCGTTCGAGTAAACACGAGGTGTGTGTTCTCAACAGTTTGACTGGTCGGGCATTTATCAGTAGCAGTGACGTTCAGCATGTTTTTGTTGTTTATTATTATTTACAACTGGTTATAATAAAAATGTCGGATATTAGGCAGTGGAACAGAGATTTTTTATTAGAGTTTATCGAGCTTGGCAGGTTTCGGGTTTTATGCGTCCTAGTGCCTGCGGTGAAATAATAACAGAAAACTTCATATCCTCGTAGCTGCGGCCAGTGGCCAGAAACCGCAGAGTAGCTGTTAGGCGTTCGTGAGGACTGATGCATTCCCGTAAATGGGTATTATGTCTCTCAATTAACTTTGTTACTAGTTTTAACAGTTTCCGATACGTATACTCGTCCATCCTCAAGTAATTGTGCCAATCACCATGCTTCAATTTTAGCTCCTCCAGTAAATTTGTTTGTGACAGTGTACTGCGTTTAAGTAGCCAGTCTTTAGTCCATTTTCTTCGAGATCTTCTTTTTTCGCGATTTTTTTCCACTGCAAATTCGTTGCCACTGCTAACAAGCACGTACGGTCCATCGTGATAAACTGGCGCGAAAAAAACTGTTGTGTATGGACATATCAGTCAACGTTTTTCCTTCCAACGTTTTTAACCGTCGGTTAAAAACTGCAAAGAAGAACGAGGTGAGTGGGGCCCTTTAGAGATACTTTTTAGAAAATTACAAGATTTTGAAGATTTCAAATATAAATCATTAGAATCACTTCGACAAATTTTAATAACTTGTGGTTTTAGATATAAAAAGTTAGATAGCCGAATGTGTATTATGGAGTGGCGTCAAATTGTGGAATTACGTCAAATTTATTTAAGGGAAATTTTTAAATTTAGAAATAGCAATAGAAATATAGTTTATTTGGATGAAACATGGTTCGACACATGATCTCGTTGAACGTGGTTGGGCAGACGATTCACAAAATTGTGTTTTAAAGGCACCATGCTCGAGGGGGAAACGAGTCATAATTTTACATGCCGGAAATGAAAATGGCTTTGTACCAAACGCTTTGCTACTTTCAGCAAAAAATATCAATAAAGCTCTGTTGGATTATCATGAAGATATGAATGCATCAGTTTTTGAGAACTGGTTTGCTGAACAACTTTTACCGAATATTTCACCAAATTCAGTCATTGTAATGGACAATGCGTCATATCATTCCCGGCAAATTCATAAGAAGCCAAATAGTGGCTCTAAGAAATCAATTATAATACAATATTCAAAAGATAATAACATTGATATTCCTGCTTCCGTAAAAACAAAACCACAATTGTTAGAAATTGTTAAAAGTAAGAATATTCCGATACAGTATTATATTGATAATTTTGCAAAAGATGGTGGTCATACTGTATTGAGGTTACCACCTTATTATTGTATACTTAATCCAATTGAGTTAGTTTGGTCTTCAGTTAAACAAAATCTGAGACGTAATAATTTTGCACCTACCTTAACTAATGTGGTTTTGGAAAATATTAATGGCGTTTTTAAAGATCCGTCTTTGACTGACGTTTGGAAAAACAGCGTTAATCACGTCATTAAAAAGGAAAAAGAATATTATGTTTTACCTTCTATAGCTCCAGTAATTATAAATCCACACCTCGATTCCTCGATAGATGGTTCTGATTTAGATTCGGATTAACTTTCTTATTTTTCATTATTGGTAATCCGAGAGTCATCACATTAATACATTTATAGTTTTGTTTTATTTGTAAAGAATTTATTTTCCTTTATGGTTTTTGCTTTGAAATTTCGTTTTCCAGAAAAAAAAACGAATGGGGTACAAAAAGGGCTCAGTTCACGTCTGGTACCCTGTTTAAACCAAACGCCCTTACAGGCAGGAACATTTTACTCGTCAATTTACGTTTTATAATTTAATATTCATTTGTAGCAAGTTAACGAGCTATAATAATATTATTTTTTTTTAAGTTTCAAGTAGAACTATAATTAAGTGCATCTGTCTAAATAACGGCATTTAATGCCTTCCAAGTATTGATAATGGAAGAATTATACCCAATTAATAATTTAATTCATTTAATTTTAATAATAAAAAACGATACGCCCATGTGCGCGGTCCCTTTGAAGTCGGCGCTAGTCGGTTATAATGCCGTGTTGGATTGTGTCTAGAAAGACTTTATTTTTTGTATAATATAATTATTTATTATAGTTTTGAAACCCAAATTTGTGTGTGTCAGTTTGTGACCTATTTTTGTATAGTCGTTTTAAATATAACATTATATTTGTTTTGACAACATTGGGTTTCCTTTAGCCCTTTTACAGGGACGTGTTAGTTCTGATATCAAGAGTCGAGCCCTTATACAGTTAAGGGCTACGAAGCCAAGCTTAAAAGCAATATAGTTATATAATAATTATTGGTCACTCCTTAAATTCAGAGAGCATGTCACTGTGACACATTTTATTGTAGAATAAATAATGACATTTATTTAAAGAACACGTAAATCGTGACAATATACAAGGTGATCCATTTAAAAAATCAATGAAATGTCCGGTAAAACCGGAAAAAGGCCATTATGTTTAAGAAAACGTGTCAATTTGAAATTATGTGTAGTAAGATTTGTCCCTATGATACAAATCGCTTTATAAATAAGAAATATTAACGTAACCCTAGTCTCCATTGTCATCCGGTATACCTCGATAGACATTGGATAATATTTATATCTGCTGTTTTCTCTACATTTTGGTCACCTTTGAGCTTGAAATTATTTCCTATTTTAAATAAAATTCTTGATTGTTTCGGCCTTTACTTGATGAAAATCTATATCATTAAAATAAGAAAAACCAAACATGATGGATTTTCACAATTTTATTTATAAAATAAAATAAAAAATACACGACAATAATTGTTTCGAAGAAGTACTTCGAAACAATTGTGTAATTTTTAATATTTATTTTTTAAACAAAAGTTCTTGTGTAAATCTACCATGTTTGGTTTTTCTCATTTTAAATAAAATTCATTGTTTTAAATAGGGGGGTGGGTGGCTCAGTGGTAGAGTCTCTGCCTGCGGATCCAAGGGTCCCAGGTTCGAATCCCATCGTTGGCCAGGATTTTTTTATTTAAAATTAATTCTGATGCCTTGGTAGGATTCCCCGCTCGACCATTCACTGTTGGGTTCTAATTAACAGTGCTGTTCCTAAAGTGGCGCAAGGAAACAGTAACAAGGCCTGTCTGTAGAGGTGTAGGAGTATTAGAGTACTAATACGCCTGCACTATGGAGTACTAGTACAATCCATAACCAACATAGAACACGAGGCTAATGACCTTAGTTATTGAAGCCAAAGACACCAATGAAAAAAAAATTGTTTCAAATATTCCAATTTCAAAATGACCGTCGTAATTATTAAGCTGTGTACATAAATGGGGTAAAAATCTCGAAGAGGTGCGATAAACCTATAAGTAGTTAATTAATGGCTCGTGAAACTTCAGTCATAGATTGTAATCAATAATTATTTCAAAACCAAATAAAGCGCTAATTGATAATTTTTTAATGATGAGCTAATAATGGACGTAATTTAAAATAATAAATATGCGAAAATGTATTCACCTCTAACTTTTGCTGGACCTATATTTTTTAAAATTTTTAGGGAAGTTTTCTTTTTGAAATAATTTAATAACTGACGTAAACATTATCGAAAGCAGAATCTTTAATTTCTTTTTGTTTGTGTCTGTGTTAAATTGCTTATTAAATTGATTATTTCAGTAATTTAAAATTTGAGACTATTTTTTTTAATATTAAAATTAAACAACCAATATTTAAATTGTTAAATCGTCTTCATTAATGTATTTCCGTTTCGAAAGTAAAAGAAAGTAACTCACCTTCATGTTTATTTCTGCGAAGCGATAAGCGTTAGCACAGTCGAAGTTCAGGTCACATTCACTTTATTCACTAAAGAAGATTCAAATCGTATAGACACATACGTTAGTCGTGTCGTTTACTCTCACTCTTAAAAATTGCATTTAGTGAGTCAAGACACTTTTATTTGAATATCAGAATCCCCACTGAAGACAATCCATAAGGATTGTCTACTCTTCTCTAATAACTTTTACTTTTGCTTAATAAAACATTTCTATACAGAAAAGATCATTTCCAAACATCAAATTTCAAAATAACCTCTGCTAAATATTTTGTTATATTTAATTAAAATTAAGGTCCGAATCTTCTTTATTCTTGGTCCAAACCGATACTATGACTGAAGATAAAATAAATATGAGAAAAGAGAAGCATATATTGTGTAAATCCCATAAAATTTTCTTAAATTGGCAATACTTAAACTATCAAGTGATAACACTGAAGCCTATACATTAGCTTATTCTATTTTATTCCATTTTAATTCATAGTATCCACAATCTATCACCATTTTAAACACAAAAATACGCCAAGTTTCCTTCGCACCATCGTCGTACAAAATAATAATATGCGCCTTTGTGCATGAGTCAAAATAACTCTTTTTCACAGCTTCACTTTATGACAAACTATAGTGTTAGTATTTGAAGTAATCATACAAATAGAGCAGAGCTGGGACGAATCCTCAAAAAATTGATTTAAATCACGAGATGTGATTCGAATCATATGTCCGAATACTTTTTGCAGTAAAAAAAGGATTCAAATCAATTGATTGAAATCCATTTTTTTGGAATACGAATACGAATCACTGTCAGTGTCATACCATGGTATTATGTATGATTCCGAATCTAATATCAATATCAACTTATGTGTCTATTACGGACTATGATTTGCATACGAATGGTTGATACAAGAAGATGTTGAAAAAATAAACTTATTTTTTTTTTATAAATATGAACCTTAAAAAAATTAGAATCTACAAAACATATATTTTATTTTAATACAAAAAACAAAATAATAAACAATGAAGCAAAAATGTCTTTAGGTTGACCTTACATAGCACCAAAATTTCAAAGTCCTTCGAGGGGCGCCGATTATACCTGCAAACAAAAATAATAATCGTTAGACTTCACCAGACGAAGGAAGGCAAGTGTTCCAACAAAGCACCCAGTATTTTTTAAAAAACACTATTTCTCTCGAAAAGTTTTACAATATTTTAAGAGCCTAAAAATAGCTTAAACATGTGACAAGTGGATTTTTCCAGAAAAAAATAAACCGAGGTGCTCTGCTAACTTCGTTCCAACAAAGCACCATGTATTATTTAAAAACAGCAATTTTTAGTAAAGTTTTAAAATATTTCAAGAGCCTAAAAATTGCCTAAAAATGCGGTGTGGTTGTTTTTAGAAAAAAAGCTTTAAAAACCGAGGTGCTCTGCTGACTTTGTTCTAACAAAGCACCCTGAATTATTTATAAATAGCAATTTTTCAGTAAAGTTTAAAAATATTTCAAAAGCCTAAAAATAGCCTAAAAATGCGGTGTGGTTGTTTTTAGAAAAAAGCTTTAAAAACCCGAGGTGCTCTGCTGGCTTCTTTCGAAGCTAGCAGAGAACCTTGATTTTTGCAAAAAGCGAGGAGCATAAAATTTTTGAATAAGGTATAAAAATAGCTTTAAAATAACCTAAAAGTATGGCATAGGTTTCAACTCAAAATTGTCTAGGTGCTCTGCTGCCTTCTTTGACATTAATTTGTAGATTGTTACGTTTGTCTTCTAAATATTAACAATCGGTCTTCAGTCTCAGTCTGTTTCAGTTTACACCATAGATAAATTAATATTAATTTATCTATGGTTTACACTTCGCGACAAGTCAAAGCGTGAGTCGACCGTTCGCGCCGGCGTAGTTTGGTCACTAAAAGGATCCGAGACTAATATAAATTGGTGATTCGAATACGAATCCTTAAGGATTTCCTCGGCGAATCCGGATCACGGATCTTTTTTTTCTTAAGTATTCGAATACCGCTCGCGGATCCTCAAAAAATTTTCATAAAAATCAGAATTTTGCACATTTTATCAAATTTCTCGAAAACGGGTGTTCGTGCGTGCGTGCGTGCATGCGTGCGTGCGTGCGTGCGTGCCTGCGTGGGTGCGTGCGTGCGTGCGCGCGCGCGTGTGTGTGTGTGTGTGTGTGTGTGTGTGTGTGTGTGTGTGTGTGTGTGTGTGTGTGTGTGTGTGTGTGTGTGTGTGTGTGTGTGTGTGTGTGTGTGTGTGTGTGTGTGTGTGTGTGTGTGTGTGTGTGTGTGTGTGTGTGTGTGTGTGTGTGTGTGTGTGTGTGTGTGTGTGTGTGTGTGTGTGTGTGTGTGTGTGTGTGTGTGTGTGTGTGTGTGTGTGTGTGTGTGTGTGTGTGTGTGTGTGTGTGTGTGTGTGTGTGTGTGTGTGTGTGTGTGTGTGTGTGTGTGTGTGTGTGTGTGTGTGTGTGTGTGTGTGTGTGTTTTGAATGTTGAATGTTGAATATATCTGTTATTTATCCTTGGAGAAGAAAAATTTCAAATAAAAATTGCTTGAAACGTTATTCTCTATAATTTTTGACATATGCATCATTTTCCTAAAATTGTCAGTATTCAAACAAAAGTTGTTTGCGATTTAATTCTCTATAATTTTTATTTTATACATGATTTCTCTAAAATGGAGCGTAGGAAAAATTTTAATTTTTCAGTATTTCCGTTGGCAATGAATATATAATATAACAAAAAATTTAAAATTTAAAAAATGTTTCGAGTAAAATGTATGTATCCTCTAAACATTTACAGGGGTGATACAGTAGGTTGTACAAAATAACTGGAAAGAGCCTTGTAATAACTAGACCGGAAAGTAATATGTTGGACACATCAGATTATTGATTCTAATAACAAATTTGGATACGAGCTCTATTCTGCAATTCGTTAGTAAGATTCATATTTATTTCACTTTAAAACAATTATTTTCACTTATCTATCTTGCAGATTCTTTGAAACAAAAATAAGGCAGGCGCGCAAACACCACTCCTATCCATTCTGGGGTACCTGAAGGGAGAGAGTCCTTGGACCCGCATTATACCTTCTATTTAGGGTGTTACAAAAACAATGTTCGAGGGTAGATTCCTCACATAAAAATAAGACTATTTTTTTAACCGACTTCAAAAAAGGAGGAGGTTCTCAATTCGTCGTAATATTTTTTTTTTAATGTATGTTCAGCGGTTATTCCTTACCACCTTGTCCAATTTCTAAGATTCTTTTTTTGTTAGTATAAGGGGGTACCTCAGGTGTGGTCCCATATAAATTTGGTTAAGATGTGCACGATTTTGAAGTCGGTTTTTTTTTTAATTACGTTTAATACTTGTTCATATCAACATATGTCCGATTCTGCTTCGTTACGGAGAAGGTGTCAAAATTTAAAAAACCAAATATTTTTTCCCAAAATCTAAATAACCACGAGAAAGATTAAGATATTTGGGCATCCAACCGTGACATATATTATATGTTGATCGAAGGTATGTGATTTGCAGGACCGGACTTGCAGACAGGTCTATAAAGAAAATTTAAATAAAAAGTCGTATGCCTCTGGCGTTAAAAATAAGTACACCATTCCATCATTCCACATATAAACAGTCCCAGTGTCTATAAGACAAAAATTTTATGGTGTATTCTGACCAACAATACTTCCAAGCAAATTTTATATTAAGCTTTTAAGGTGGAAGGACATCTTATTACTACACCTATGTACTACAGTTTAGGAAACATTTAATTTGTCCATGCTAAAATGTAAAAATACTCTAATAAAATTTGAAATAAAAACAAATAATGTAATTGGATCGTAGAAAAAAATGTCGGGTGAAGCTATGCAACATGTGCAACAAATATTTGCACATACTTTTTGCACTAGTTTAGGGCCAATTCCTCCGTTGTGTTAAACGGAGATTAAATGACATTGTTAATGTAAAAATGTCATTTTAAACTTCGTTTAACACAACGATGAAATCGGTCCTTACACAAATAACTCTACCTATTTGGGTGCTACATAATAAAAATAGCTAGCTGTTGCCATGCAGTTGTCTATATAACAAAATATTAATAATAATATTAAACTAGACTAGAGAAACGTAAAATTATGTGTTGCTGGATAACGTCCGTAGATGCTAGGAAACCATGAGTTGCAGGAGATCTTCGTTCGTCCTTGTATCGCAGCGAGGAGTGACTAAAAGCTGCTCTCCGAACCGTAGTTAATTATATTACCGTTAAAGGCGCTGCAAGTTGTTGACGTTAAAAGTGGCGCTTTAATTTAAATTTGAAGCTATATTTTGAAATCATTTTATTCTATAACGTATTATTTCCTTATATTTTTTTTGCATTGTTAGGTAATGAAATAATTGTATATCATTAAAAAAATATATTTTTTAATAAAACAAAATATTCTAATCGTGAAAGTATTTATTTACTAGTATTTAAAAATAAATATACATATTGTTATATTATACACATTAGAAGAACCGATAATTGGAACAATCTCTTGGGGCTGAGACAGGCTAAGATACTTCTGGGTGAATATAACCAGAAAAGATCGAAAGCCTGCATCTGTCTGAGCAAGAACAGGCTACGTATTGTAACAGGGATCCTTACCGGGCATTGCCGACTAAAAGGACACCTAAGTAAACTAAGATTAGTAGAGGATAGTGAGTGCATATTCTGTGAGGAAGAGGACGAAACCTCCATTCACATTCTAACTGAATGTGTACCACTCCAGAATCCAAGGGCACTATACCTAGGAGGATATCAAATAGAAGAGGGAGATTTACCTAACTTGAAGCCACTCCAAATCCTACTCTTCCTTGAAGGGTTGTTATAGGCATTGAGACATGTCCTTGGTGCATTAGCGACAGAAGGGGGCACAATAGATCTTTTAGGTCGCAGTGTATTAACACCCCATTCCCAACATAACATTATACACATTATAAATAATCATGATCTGCTTCTCCTTTGTTAATATATAACCGGTTATTCAACAAATTATCTATTACATTATTTTCTTCTTCACTAGGCTTTTTTATCAATTTGTTTGTTTTAATCTGTTTGTTTTTTTTATTGGGAGGTTCACTACTATTCTTTGTAATTAAACATGGTGTTCTTACTTTACATATATCTATTATGGCACTTCCTTTCTTTAAATAATTAAGTACCTCATTCAATACAGTATCATCTGTAATATCAGTACACTTTAAAGATATTTCATTAATTTTTACTTTGAATTTTTTCTTTTATACTTATCTCATTATTTTTAGTTGCTGTGCTATATTTTGTTAAGGTTTCCATGTGAGTCTTTATTTCTAAGTTATTGATTTCAGTTAAATCAGTTATTTGAATGTTTTTATTATTATTAAGTAAATTATTAAAAGCTACATAATGAATATGTTCACAAATAGTATTTTTTAAATAAAAGATTGTACACTGGCAGCTATAGGTATGAATACATATATGACAAAATTTACAATCTAAATGGCAACAAATATTATTTGAAATTTTAGATACCTCATATGACATTTTATTTACTTTTATAATGCACATGTGTTCAGAATTAACATGTGCACTAAAAGAGTCAGAGTTTGCTATTGCATTCCTGTGCCTATCAACAATCTTTTTAGTATGTGCAGTTGCTTTGCCCTTTGTGTTTTTTATTAACCGTTCAATTAGCTTATCTCTAATATATTTCAGTAAAAAATGAAGTCCTTTATCTAATCTTTGCACTTTTTTTCCATCTAGATAGAAATATTTTAAAGTTTTGTGCATCGACTCTAAATGCATATTTGTATTAATATTGCAGGATTTTCGGAAACAGGAAGCCCACAACTTATAATTATCACTATAATATTGTTCAAAGTATAAGCCAAACTTCTTAGTATCCTCATCATCTTTTAAAATATTTAAAGTCCTGTTAAGGAGGTACAAAAAATTGGTTTCATCTAGAGTTACTTGGAGATACTTAATAGTTTTATACACCCACTTGCGTTTCTCCATATTGTTAATTTTATTCAAATTTTTTTGCCAAGCTCTATCAATGTGCCAGGCACAATATAGTTGATGACAAGGAGCTCCCATAATTATTTTCCAGGCATTGTAAAACACTCCTGTAATATCAGACATGAAAGTGTTTGCATGTATAGAATAACCTAATTTACTTTTTATAGAAGAAAAGAACAATTCGTTGATATGTGTGTCATTTTTATTGGAAAACATACATGCTGCTGGGAAACCTGAACCATATTCATCTACTACCATTACGGTTGTTAAATTAAAATCGTAATTATTCAGTCCGTGGGTACTATCCACGGCTATTATATTGCTTCCAAATGTCTTAAGCATGTACTCCTGTGATTTACTCATTATTATAAGACAAAAATCATCTTTATCTAAAACACCCATATCAACTCCTTGTTTTTTATAAAAGAGTACACAATTAGTATCACAACTTTCTTGTTCTTGTATCCATAAATCAATACTAATTACATCATCTGTGTGTCTCCTTCCTTCCTCCTCACAATTAATGTTGAATGCTGTTTTAATATTGTGTATATCTTTTCTTGTGATAATGTCACACCTCTTTAGTTGTGTCCCACTGATATTATCTCGAATATCATTTAAAATCCTACTTACAGACACCCCTGATTTTAATTTAACTCCTATATCAGTTCTATCTTTTGACAAGATTCTCAAATGCTGTACATCAATTTCATGATTATAATGTGTTTTATAATATGTTACAAGTATCTTATCCTTGTTATTATCCACTTTAATCTGGCTAATACACGTTGTTTCAATTTTACAGCTTCCTTGGCTTTTAAGTGGACGCTTCAGAGATTGTTTATCTAAAAAAAAATAAAGTTTTTCAAAAAATGAAGAACAATACCAAAATAAACTGTTTACATTTTGGGTCAAAGTGTCTACCCAAAATAGACAATGAAACATTTCATACTCACCATGCTTACTTGTAATACTTCGATTACAATTGTAGTACTGAACATCTTTTTTTTGCCCTCTTGCTTTAACATACTGCACATTATTACTCTCTTCTTCAGTAGAAAGCCATATGTTAAAATCTAAAATAAATTGGTAATAGAAGAGATATATTATTTTGCACATGACTAATTATTATATATATTACCTTCTAAACTTTCAAATTCCTGTGCAACTGTTTCGACTTGATAATTATGTTTTTCTATCAAATGATTCCTCAAATCTTTAATAAATTTAAAAGAACATAAACATTCGTTACACTTTGAATTCCATACTTTGTAATCATATGAAATAATATTATTTAATACATTATGATATGATTTCAAATGTCTATTTAAAGATGACTGTGTACTAAACGCCAAAGAACAACTACTACAAGATACAACCATATTATTTATTTACGAATAATTTATAAATGATAACTTGATAACCACAAAAACTAGATTTGTTTTTCACCGGGTTATGAATGAACGAGATTGACAGTTGACGGTAAAACTTTATTTTATAAAGGCAGCGCCAACGGAATAATATTACACTACGGTTCGGAGAGCAGCTTTTAGTCACTCCTTCGCAGCGTCGTCGTAAAACATGATTATTCGCTTGGCAATTATTAATCTCCTGAAAGCTATGCAATCCTTATAGCAGCTGTATCACAATAAAGTAAAGCAAAATCATTGTATAGCAAAATCAAAGGTAAAATGAAACTGAGAGAAGAGGTAAAATTAGTGAAAATAGTGCAGGTGATTTACAGATTGCATGATAAATTTGAAAATAAAACTTTAAAGTTAATAATGTTGGAATTTTGGAAAATATACATTTGATCCTGCGATTAGATATTTGTATTTTTTCTACGGCTATAATATGAACAAAACTACACAATGTTCAACTGCTATTGAATAAAAAAAAAATAAAAAAGGTGCGTTTCCTAATTTAATAATTCTGACCACTCGTAGGTAATCAATTCCTTATCAGGTCCTTATCTGATAATATAACGAATACTTAGTCATTTACTAATTACTATAATGCCGTGCTTAGCAAAAACGCCGTATCTACCAAAAATTCGAAAAGTGGGGTTTTGATAATTAAATATGTCGAAAAGAACTAAATTAATTTTGAAACTAGCTGAAAATACTACAACCAAGCCAGTGTTTGTGAGTTACCATCGGTCATGGAAAACGAGAGTTTTTTTTAGTGAAAACAATAAAAATATATCTAGCAGTGGCGTAGGCAGTTGCATATATAATAATTCAACAAACATTCCTGCAGTAACAGATATTAGTGTAAATCAAAAGAGTTCTAATGAAATAGGGGATGATATAGATGATATGTTTTGTAGTTTTGTGAATTGGATTATTATTATAACTTTTCATAATAAAAACTTGGCGCCAGCAGGCACGTATTATAGCCGTTCACACAATATTATATTCCTATTAAAAAAAAAATCTAAACAAGTGTGAAAACCGCATCTAGCTAGCTGCTGCGGTTCGCTTCTTTATATTTTTTTTTCTAAATTTTTAAATACCTCAAAAACTACGCATCTGACAAAATTTAATGTAAATACCATTTTTTTTTTGGAAATTTAATTCTCCATCCAGACGTAAACCGCATTATGGTTCATGACTTATGACGTTTTTTTTTAATCTAAGCTCCGTTGCTACCTCCTTCCTGAGCCTTCACGCCCCACGAAAAACTAATGATCTTATCGCGTGGCGTCAGGGCATATTTGTGTCAAATATGATTAAAATAGGTTTAACGGTTTTTCAGTTATGGTGTCCCAGACAGACGACAGATACCCTCGCAATATTTTGTATGACCCAAATTACTCATTTTGATTGGAAATAGAAAAAGTTTTTTTGACTATATACAGGGTATTTCAGATTTAAACGGACACAGCTTAATGGGAGGTAGAGTACACTTAGCTGAGTTCAAAACACCCCCATACTTAGCCTTTAATCTAACTCGTTTCTGAGATATGGGGTGTTTTATGATTTTTTGCCAAAACTAAAATCGGCCATTTTGTTTGAACGGCTAGATATATTTTGATAAAATTTTGTACAAAAGTTACACTTTCTTAGATTAATCAAAACAGTAATTTAATTTTAAAAAATTTCAGGAACAGACTCTCTTTTTTTATATAGCTTTTCTTAGCTAGAATATCAGCCTGTATATCGGATTTTAATAAATGTTACTGCACATTTAAATATTACGTGGATCAATAAATAAAATAATGTAATAATATTTAATGGCACCATCTTGATTTTCTTACAGTACATTTTTATAATGGCGACTACAATATTTTTATTTTTTTTAACCACAGCAAATTAAACATCTACACAGGACCGGGCTTACTTTATTTAATAAAGTAATAGAACAAACTATGTGCGCATGATGGTGTACCAATTTTGTACCGAAATATTATCGTTTTCGCGCTTGTTGGATCAAACCATGCATGTTAATGTAAAAATGTAATTTTAAACTTAGCTTAGGGTCGATTCCACCGTTGTGTTATACAAAGTTTAAATTACTAAACGAAGATTAAAATGATATTGTTAATGTAAAAATGTCATTTTAATCTTCGTTTAGTAATTTAAACTTAGTTTAACACAACGGTGGAATCGACCCTTAGGGTCGATTCCACTGTTGTGTTAAACGGAGATTAAAATGACATTGTTAATGTAAAAGTGTCATTTTAAACTTCGTTTAATACAACGGTGGAATCGGTCCTTAGTAACTTAAACTTAGTTAAACACAACGGTGGAATCGACCCTTAATCTTTATTTTGCTGGGTGCATGAGTAACCCTACCTAAGGCGTTGATCCGCGCGGATTCCGCTGTGTACTTTGTCTGAACTAGGTTTGAACGAGCTCTAAGGATCGATTCCACCCGTTGTGTTAAACGAAGTTTAAAATGACATTTTTACATTAACAATGTCATTTTAATCTCCAATTAACACAACAGTGGAATCGACCCTAACCACTTAAACCTCAATATTGCCAGTGTAGATATTCTACCTAGGCACTGGGTAGGGTTGCCACCTTTTTGAAAAGTGAATTAAAGACTATGGTGCTGATAGGGTTTCTGGTATACAAATGATCCTCATTCTTCTACTGAACTTCTAAAAAAGAAAAAAAAAAGAAAAAAAAGAGAAAAAAAGAAAAAAAAAAAGAAAAAAAAAAGAAAAAAAAAAAAAGAAAAAAAAAAAGAAAAAAAAAAAAGAAAAAAAAAAAGAAAAAAAAGATAATAAAAAAAAAAGTCGACAAGTGTGTAACAACAAAAAGTCCTCGTCCTTCTACCGAGCTTCTAAAAAAAGGTTCTCAGCTTCCCATACAACACACAGAAATGTTTCAGAAATATTTCAAACGTTTCAAACATACAACATTTCAAGCACAAATTTCTGAAATATTTTAGTTAAATATTTCACTGAAAATGTTTCTGAAACATGGTATACTTGTTACACAAAAGATTACTAAAGGGGTTATGTTGTAAAAGGCCAAAAATTAATGAATAATTTCTGATTTGTAAAAAGAAAATGTAGTTTTATTTTATCATGTCCCTGTCCAGCCAACAGCTAGAAACAAGCCTCTAAATAATTATAGATTTGAGTTGTTGGTTTTGGATATTCATGCATTGTGAACTTGTTATATGGGAAGCAGAATATGTCTAGAAATTAAGGTGAGAACTACATAAATAATGCTTGCTTAGGTGGATTTTCATAGTTAATTTAAAACAATATTAATAAAACTATCGTTAATCAAATAATTTGTTTCTGAAATATTACTATTTAATATTTCTAAAAGATTTCTAATTTTTATTTCAGAAATATTACTGTGAAATATTATATTTAGAGGACATTTTTACGTTTCAGGCATATTTCAGAAATGTTTCTGGGATGTTTCGTAATATTTATGCAACATTGCAAATGTTTCAATGTAACATTGTTGTAACATTGTTGAAATATTTCCGAAATGTGTTTGTGCTATATGGGTTGTATAATTTTTGTACAAGCCATGTCCCTTTCAAAGATATCAAATAGTAAAACAGGACATATGCCGTAAAAGAGGACATTTTAAGCTTTAAAAAGTCGCAAGGACCTTTTGCTTCAAAAAAGGACTGTCCTTTTCAAAAAGGGACTGTAATTTTCAAAAAAGGACAGGTAGTGGCAACCCTAGCACTGGGCCTAAAGTAACCATTCGATGACGTCACACTAATAAGGTCAGTTTTGTACGATAAAATCATGAAAAAAAAACGATAAGTTTCTACAGAATTGTACAGTACAATAATGGTATAGAGAAAGTAAAAGTTGAAAAGTCTTTTGGTAGGTAGAGAGGGGGTAAACGTCAAACCACGTCGGGCGGCTCCGAGAATTTCACAGTAATGTTTACCTGCCAGTGTCGTTTCATAGAATAAGTAATTTTAAATTGTTATCGGCGGAACCGGACAATCGCATGTATTTATGGATTATAAATAATTATTAAACATGTATTATAATATTCTAATTATAATTTTAAAAAATTTCAACAGCTATTCACAATTTATTAAACTATTTACTCAAAATTGTTATTAACATCTATAAAATAATTTTGTACGCCAATGTATCGCGTCCACTTCGGTGAGATCCGCTGACAACCTGTCAATTTATGTGTTATAAAGTGGGAGAACTGGCAAAAGCATTTCCAACTTTTACTTCTGTTCTACAATAATTTGGTTTTGGTGATCTGGCAACACTGCTCAATCTCAAACTAGTGTCACTGTCACAAGTTGTTATGTTGTTGGTTTTAGGTTAAGTGAGATCATAATTTAATGAAAAGGAATATTTTGATAATTTGATAAACAGATTTATAGATTAACTTTTTATGATCGAAATCAAAGGTTTCACTATAATGTTTAGTTATCTTATTATTACGGAAGTTAACAAGTTTCAGAGAAAATTATTTCTTCTCGTCTAACTTTAAACTGTGAAATTTGTGATAATTTTAAACAATAAGATGTTGGAAGGCTTAGTAGCTTGGATATTAAATACTTATTTAGGAAAATATGTTGAATTGAATACTGATCAACTCAGTATTGCTTTATTGTCAGGTAAGAAATAAATACATTTTTTTTAAATGATCTTAAGTATGAAATTTAATTCTATAGGAAAAGTTGAATTAGAAAATTTGCCACTGAAAAAAGATGCATTGTGTCATTTGGGATTACCTGCTGATATCAAAACAGGTTTTATTGGCAAAATTCAGTTACAAATTCCTGTTAGACAAATTAGGTCAGCACCCTGGATTATCATTATTGAACAACTGTGTTTGGTGGCTACCCCTCTGTCTATAGACCAAGTAAGTTTTCAGAATGATCCACAATATATAATTTTAACATATACCTGCCTTATTGACCCAATTGGATTGACATTAAACTAAAATTACTGTGTATATGAATTTTGTTTTTATAATAAAGGATATAATAGTCTAAATTGACATAAAGTCTATTGACACAGGCACACACACATACACCACTTCCTCTATTCATTGTGTTCGGTCTGCCAAGTTCCTTTAACTCCTTTAACACTTTTTACTCCAAACGACCCTTTTAGCGTTCGGTTTAGTCTGATTAGTGACAGTTTAACATGCTTAAATGTCATTTAAACGCACCCTAAAAAAACTCTGCTTTTGTCCCGCTCCAGCCCCTGACTATCCGAACTCGCCTATTGAATGCAGATTAAAAGCTGTCATAATAAATGAATTGACAGTCAACTCTTTCATAAACTAAAATTAAAACCTATGTGTCAACCCAATTAGATTGATATTAGGCCCATTCATTAAGTAAAATACACAATAGATTGACCCATGAAAAATAAGAAAATCGCCCTAGATAAACTTTTATTCATAACTACTGTTACGACTTATGAACATTATCACTAATGTTCTTTTTAGACGCTAAATGATTAATTACACTTTTAATTAATGTTGGTGGAATTGCCACGATTACAGTAAACATAGTGGGATCGCCACTAGTCATTCTTTCAATCAACGTTGGTGGAATGGCCACCATTACCATTAATTGCCACTTAATACTCTTTCAATAAATGTTGGTGGGATTGTCACCATTACAGTACACATTAGTGGGATTGCCACTAATTACTCTTTCAATTAATGTTGGTGGGATTGCCACCATTGCAGTAAACATAGTGGGATTGCCACTAACTACCTTTTCAATTTAACCTTGGTGCTATTGCCACTAACTACCTTTTCAATTAGCCTTGGTGGGATTGCCACTAACTACCTTTATTTTTAAACACTAAACGCTAGTGTTATAAAACTAAACTCTAGTATTACTTTATTATCATAATTTATTCAGAAACATTTGGTAGAATTGCCACCCTAACACTAAACGCTAGTATTATAACACTAAACTCTAGTGTTAATTTATTATCATGATTTATTCTGGAACATCTGGTGGGATTGCCACCCTAACACTAAACACTAGTGCTACAACACTAAACCCTAGTGTTAATTTATTATCATGATTTATTCTGGAACATCTGGTGGGATTGCCACCCTAACACTAAACACTGGTGCTACAACACTAAACCCTAGTGTTAATTTATTATCATGATTTTTTCTGGAACATCTGGTGGGATTGCCACCCTAACACTAAACACTAGTGCTACAACACTAAACCCTAGTGTTAATTTATTATCATGATTTATTCTGGAACATCTGGTGGAATTGCCACCCTAACACTAAACACTAGTGCTACAACACTAAACTCTAGTGTTAATTTATTATCATGATTTATTCTGGAACATCTGGTGGGATTGCCACCCTAACAATAAACACTAGTGCTACAACACTAAACCCTAGTGTTAATTTATTATCATGATTTATTCTGGAACATCTGGTGGGATTGCCACCCTAACACTAAACACAGGTGCTACAACACTAAACCCTAGTGTTAATTTATTATCATGATTTTTTTCTGGAACATCTGGTGGGATTGCCACCCTAACACTAAACACTAGTGCTACAACACTAAACCCTAGTGTTAATTTATTATCATGATTCATTCTGGAACATCTGGTGGGATTGCCACCCTAACACTAAACACTAGTGCTACAACACTAAATCCTAGTGTTAATTTATTATCATGATTTATTCTGGAACATCTGGTGGGATTGCCACCCTAACACTAAACACTGGTGCTACAACACTAAACCCTAGTGTTAATTTATTATCATGATTTTTTTCTGGAACATCTGGTGGGATTGCCACCCTAACACTAAACACTAGTGCTACAACACTAAACCCTAGTGTTAATTTATTATCATGATTCATTCTGGAACATCTGGTGGGATTGCCACCCTAACACTAAACACTAGTGCTACAACACTAAATCCTAGTGTTAATTTATTATCATGATTTATTCTGGAACATCTGGTGGGATTGCCACCCTAACACTAAACACTAGTGCTACAACACTAAACCCTAGTGTTAATTTATTATCATGATTTATTCTGGAACATCTGGTGGGATTGCCACCCTAACACTAAACACTAGTGCTACAACACTAAACCCTAGTGGTAATTTATTATCATGACTCATTCTTGAACATCTGGTGGGATTGCCACCCTAACACTAAACACTAGTGCTACAACACTAAATCCTAGTGTTAATTTATTATCATGATTTATTCTGGAACATCTGATGGGATTGTCACCCTAACACTAAACACTAGTGCTACAACACTAAACCCTAGTGTTAATTTATTATCATGATTTATTCTGGAACATCTGGTGGGATTGCCACCCTAACACTAAACACTAGTGCTACAACACTAAACCCTAGTGGTAATTTATTATCATGACTCATTCTGGAACATCTGGTGGGATTGCCACCCTAACACTAAACACTAGTGCTACAACACTAAATCCTAGTGTTAATTTATTATCATGATTTATTCTGGAACATCTGATGGGATTGCCACCCTAACACTAAACACTAGTGCTACAACACTAAACCCTAGTGTTAATTTATTATCATGATTCATTCTGGAACATCTGGTGGGATTGCCACCCTAACACTAAACGCTAGTGCTATACAACACTAAACCCTAGTGCCTATTTATTATCATAATTTATTTAGTTAAATTTGGTGGGATTTCCACTCACCTTTTTTTATAATTGCTTCGATGACCATAGCAACTGATCTTGAGCGGCTACAGTTATTCGCTGTCGCTTTGTGAAGTTGATATATTTCATGTGGTAATACCTCTCCAACTGTGTAAGGCCCTTTGTATTTTGGCCTCAATTTTCCTCCACCTGCGGGCTGTGAATCTTCAATTGCCACGATATCGCCTGTCTTAAATAATGTGGCTCGACGCCTAGTTTCATTGAATCGTTGACCTTGGTTTGACGGTCATCAATTTTTTTTTTTTGCATTGTTATACTACGACGGCCTCTTCTACTGCTATTTACTGGTTTTTTTTTCTGCTAAGAGTGTTGCTCATAACAATTTAAAGAGATTTAATCATTACACATTCTACCATTTCCACGTGGCACTCCGGTTACTATGTAATCAATCTGCACGTTACGTTTACTAAGAAAGTTTTTGTAAGTTATTGAATTAAATGCAGCAGCTATAATAAATCATATTGGTTTTCTCATTTCTTCAATAATTGATATTAGACAACATATGGAATCTTTAGAAATTGTTCCTAGCTTGCAATATTTTGAAAATGCATCGATTATAACTAATATTTGAATACAACCACTAGAGTTCACTAAAGAACCTGCATGATTAATATACTATGTGTCTAAAATGTTATGTGACTTTTCTCCATGTTACCAAAATTCACGTCAAGTGATGTATTTTTTTTTAAAGCACTGACCCATTTTCGGCCAATATAAAATAATAAATAAATAGTCTCTGAATACCTTATTCTATCCTATATGTGAAGACTCATCATTATACAAAGTCAGAATAAACAATAATCGCGCTGCATACTATATTTTCGGAGTTTTGTTTATAGTTGTCCTATTTAACAATTAGGTAGGTCAATGTCAAAGCCCCGCTTATTAATTATCTGATGACAAATCGTATCACTTTGCTGGAAATCTCGGAGCGTATGCTTATCGGTAATTTTGTTTGTTTGTTTATTGTTTTTAACGGGCACACTTTTAAATCGCTTACATAATTCACTGGATTTTTTTAATAATCTATATGTTACATTTTATGTCCAGGGTGGTACTCAATAGAAAAGTTTTAATTCTATAACTTATCACACCAACGTGCCGCGCGCGTATATAATTTGTTTACAGCTCTTTCTCGTACCGAATTACAGTCTGTATATACTATTGAATGCACACTGTACAGATACACAAGAAAGTGTTCAACCGATTTCACTATAACAAGAGTCTTTAGATTGTAAAAATGTTACCTTGATTCACAATCAGTCGTACGGTTACTATAGCATGCAATAGGTTTAGTAACAAAAGCAGTTACCTGTTTAGAACTTTCTTCTATTTCCATTTGATAAAAGCTTGACTTCATGTCCAACGTGGTAAAATATTTTAAAAACATTAATTTGATCTTCAAAACTTTTTTTTTAATAGCACAATAGGACTATTATATTTTATAATACAATAGTAATATTCTCCCTAATTCACCCCTTTTACTTACAGTGAATTTCAATCTCCAAAGTTGACTGAGCTTGTGTATGGAAATAACGGATATCATTTTATTTCTAGTAACGCTCCGGGACGACTTAAAGATGACCGCCATTTGACTTACAAATGAGGAAAACCCAGAAAACCTCACCCACCATCATTTTAAGTGACTTCTGCGGATAATTTCACTGTTTATAATTTTCTGCAGCTGAATTTTGTCTGGATACGCTAATCGCCTTCGTCGATACGCTACTGGAGTACTGCATTTTAATCTAAATTGACATTTTTCCGGTAGTTATGTGGTCAGGAGATTTATTCTTGTAAAATATTAAAAGATTATTCACTTGTATTTTAAAAGTGTCTATTAATTCTAATCGATTAATTTTCATATCGTTCAATTTTTTATTGTAAACACTTGGAATGTTGAGCAGGTCTTGATGTAACTTAATCGTGTTGACATTTTTCTCAACACCTAAACAAGGTCGGCATATGACATTGCTTCTAATAATCTTCAGGAATCACATTATTTGGAACGACCTCTAACGTAATAGTCGGCAAAATCACAAAGATCGATATTCTAAACATTGAATTCCAATTCATAACAAAAGCACATGGATCAGCTGGCCTATTCGTTTCTTTTAATGTTTTTACTACGAAATGTTTAATTATTGAACTGTCAACATCACTCTCAATAAGGTATTTTAATGACTGAGTTTGTTCACAGTATAATAACACGGCTATCGGTGTCGAGTTTAGATAGCGTCACTTTTTTTAACACAAATATTTTCTTAGGCTTGTTAATACCAACAATTGGATTCGGCTTGGCCCATTTTTTTACAATTAATGCACTAATACTGTCGGATTTTTTATAAGTAATAACCGCGTTAAATGTACTCGCCTGTTATATTCTCCGACATAGATTTTGTTGGTGTTTCTGGTGGTCTCATTTAAAGAAAGGTACATTTAAGATTTTGTTTGGCTTGAAACGTTCGGCTTCTCGTCAATCTTTAAACTGACTTCTTGGTTTTGTAAGGATCTCTGCATTTTTCGTAATTCTCGAGGTCTCAACACTGATCGCATCAAATTCGTTGAGTAATTTTATGAGTTCACGTTCGGAATTAGGATTTTGTATGTGAATGGCAAAACGGGCTTTTGAATTGTCTAAACCGGAACTGAATGCCACAGCAAAGCTTTATTAAAATTTAGTGATGATCCACAATTTTTGATTTTCACAATGGTGAGTTACAATCATGGCATTGAAGCGTAGCCTTGTATTCACGAGCAGCTGGTGTTTTCTTGTCAGCGAATGCAACAATTAGGTCATCACAAAGTCTTGCCACGTTCGAGAAAGAAGTCGCCAGTCATAACAATAACAATAACCGCGATTCTTAGATGCTTTGCTCAAATTAGCGACCATGAAGTTATCTCTAACGCTGAGTTCGTTTTTTTATTTTGGTTAGCCTCACTTAAGCCATTCGTTTATGGAATATGCGCTATCGTCAGGGTCATAGCTGGTAAGTCGAAAATAGTGCACAGGCGCGAATGTTGGCGCTTGCGTGGTAGATTAATCTGCTCCTCCAACTCTGGGCGTTGGCTTGGCGAACGGTTACGTAGCCATCTTGGAATGTTGAATTAAATCAGCAATTTATTACTCTTGGGCTGCTACAAAGTTTATTAATGTTTCCTGCCACTGAAATTTAGCACGCTTTGAACCATGTCCGTTCACATTGTCTTTAACATCGACCGACATTGTGTTCTGCTAACGCACTGTCACAAGGTTCAGGATTTTCGTCCGCCATTATCACTAGCACTAACTTCTACTTAAATTACTATTTATAGTCTATTAGCCACGGTACGCGTAGTGATCCCACATAAACACAAGGGATGTATCATCCCTAATAAAAATGTCTAAACTGCTTTTTCAATGGTTTATTTCACGATCAAGTATTCTCAATTACAATGTTGCTGTGGTATTGCCATTGTCTATTAGCGTACTACCCACTGCGCTGGTCTGCCTTCTCCCGCTCGTCCATCCTGACACGCATGTGTATGGACTTCAAGAATGTATGGTGGGGAGTATAGAGAAATACCGCTAACATATATATTCTACTGGATATGGGAAGAATTTTTTTTTGGCATTCATAATAAGATTTGAAAATAAAAAAGGAGAAGCAATCAAGTTAGCAGACTATTGGAATTTTGAATATATTTTGGAATAATCCAACAGTCAGTCAATTGACTCAAATGTACATAAACTTTAAGTAATTTATTAGGCTGTCTACATGATTCAAAATTATGTTAAGTAACTTATTATGAAAATAGATAGTTTTTAAAGTAGTAAAAGAACAAAATTAACGGTAATTTTTTAGTTGTCTGTTGAGAAGTGGACTATTAAATTTTTAATAATTTAGCCCTCTATACCGACATTAATATTTATAATTAATTAATAAATCTATATATCTATCAACCACTAAATATAACCGTCAAAATGTGGAGACTGTATGCAATGCTCACTTTAACACATAATAACTAAGGATTGGTGAGAAATATGATAGTTACTACTACCAATCTTGAATCATAAACGGTTTGTTCCAACAACGATCTTGAAACCATATATAAACCAGTCCATGACTTATTGTTGACAATCTATTGACAACTAGTAATTGACAACCTGTCGGGGTTGAGATTCAACTTGAAACTCGGTTATGTTGGAACACATTTTTAATAAATTCAGCAGGCGTTCTATTACAATAATAAACCACCAAATAAAATAAATGATAATGAACAAAAACTATGAAGACTAAACTCGATTGATAAAGACAAATCAGAGTTGTCAGAGACTATAGATATAAATAATATAATTACAATCATGAAATGTTCAGGTTATTGTATCTTTGCACATGTCTTGACAAATATTTCCTATTCAGACCCAGGAACTGGTATGACAGTACACAAATCGGTTTGTGATTAGTTTTGGTTGTGTTGGGACAATAGGTTTTCATACAGTTTTGAGTCTGAAGTATATTGGAACATGAATTCTAGACTGCACAGAATCCCAACAGTAAACTGAGTTGGTTTCTGTTGGAACAAACCTAAAGAGTAACAGAACGCCGGCAAATTTTGAATACATATAAATTTATATTATTTGAAATATTCATCTTATTTAAAAGAGAATGATTTTGCAGCCCAGAACTGGTACAGGCCAACTGGTGAACTCACCCTACCTTAACATTTATTTTTCTTCCTAAAGCAGGGCTTTATTCCCGTACAATGGAACCCAGTAAATGAATTTTTTTTTATGTTATTTATGTTATCACTCACATTAACCATTTTATTTAAAATGGTTGAAACCTTCGATCACTCCTGTTTAAATGTTGCTCATAAAGAAAGACTATATTATTAAACATCTGACATTTAAGACAATATCAACCCACTTTTATAATCATTATATTCTTACTTGTAAAAACTATTGCTTCTTTTCAACGGGTAATGAAACATTAAGAGTTTTTGCAGAATATCCTTGTCTGGCCAGAATGTATAGATAAATCTAAAATATTTAAATTCACTAGTTATAAATAAAATTATCTAAAATTTGTCTGGAACTTAAACACATTAAATCTAAAAATTTTAGTGGGACTCTGAAGCTGAAGTTTTGTCAAGACATGAAATGAAATTAACTGCTTTAAATTCACTTGAGGCAGAATGGAGATTAGAAAAGGATATACCAAATTATAATTCATCTTATTATTCCTCTAGTTATTCATCTTGGTATAGTTATGGAGCTGGATTAATATCAGAAATCCTTGAAAATTTGCAGGTAAGTCTTTCAAACATCTTTTGTTTTTAATGGCCAAGAATGTACAATCTTTATATCGTCGGTCTAAAGCACACTTATTGTATATCCAAAAACGCATTTTTGAACAATCGCAAATTTAAACTTCTAGAAAATGTAATTAAATGCCTTAATTCTCAGTTTTAATTTGAATTTATTGTAGTTTGGTAGGTGTTGGAGCCATGTTGGAGCTACAATGTTTGTGCCCAATAAAGAAGACTAAAATGCGATTTAATTGGTACCAAGATCGTTATAACATTAAATTTGGAGTTACAATATGTGTGCTTTAGATCGACGATATATATAAAAATTTCATGTCACGATGTATGTTCGCGATAAACTCCGAAACTACTGAACGGATTTTGATAAAATTTGGTAACTATCTGTACTTTGGTCCAATTTAAAAGATAGGATAGTTTTTATCTCAATTATTGACCTCAATATTTGTTATTGCAAATTAAATGTTTATTATAGGACAATTAGGCATTCCAACGACCTGTCAAACAATTTCTGACAGCGGGAAGGGTTAGTAAATTTAAAGGGGTTGCGACATAGCCTTCCATCTTGGACGCTATTTTTATTTGAAATAATAGTCGCCGAGCCTGCCAATTTATAGAAAATGTATAAGCGGTTTTTTTAAAAATAATATTTTCATTGTGTTCAACATAAAATATTTAAATTTCATCCATTATTTATGATTTCATATAATGCAGATAGACTACATCGTTTGTCGCAACCCTTTAAACATACCAAACCTTAGCACCGCGTTTCATTTGTATGGAATGCCTAAATATTGTGTATTTATTGGTTAGTTCTATGAATTCCTAATAGATGACGGTGTAAGGTGAAGACTTTCGCCTTTTTAAATATAGGAACTTGAAAATTGGAATTGCAGCTACTCATAAATGTAAATAATGACGTATTTCAAGGTTTTTGGATTTTCACATTTTAAGGAGGGGGAATAAATAAATAAAATAAACAAATAAAAATAAATAAATATAAATAAATAAAAATAAATAAAATTAATTAAAATTATTAAAAATTAAATAAATATAAATAAATAAAAATAAATAAAATTAATAAAAATTAATAAAAATTAATATAAATTAATAAAAATTAATAAAAATTAATAAAAATTAATAAAAATTAATAAAAATTAATAAAAATTAATAAAAATTAATAAAAATTAATAAAAATTAATAAAAATTAATAAAAATTAATAAAAATTAATAAAAATTAATAAAAATTAATAAAAATTAATAAAAATTAATAAAATTATAAAAATTAATAAAAATTAATAAAAATTAATAAAAATTAATAAAAATTAATAAAAATTAATAAAAATTAATAAAAATTAATAAAAATTAATAAAAATTAATAAAAATTAATAAAAATTAATAAAAATTAATAAAAATTAATAAAAATTAATAAAAATTAATAAAAATTAATAAAAATTAATAAAAATTAATAAAAATTAATAAAAATTAATAAAAATTAATAAAAATTAATAAAAATTAATAAAAATTAATAAAAATTAATAAAAATTAATAAAAATTAATAAAAATTAATAAAAATTAATAAAAATTAATAAAAATTAATAAAAATTAATAAAAATTAATAAAAATTAATAAAAATTAATAAAAATTAATAAAAATTAATAAAAATTAATAAAAATTAATAAAAATTAATAAAAATTAATAAAAATTAATAAAAATTAATAAAAATTAATAAAAATTAATAAAAATTAATAAAAATTAATAAAAATTAATAAAAATTAATAAAAATTAATAAAAATTAATAAAAATTAATAAAAATTAATAAAAATTAATAAAAATTAATAAAAATTAATAAAAATTAATAAAAATTAATAAAAATTAATAAAAATTAATAAAAATTATTAAAAATTATTAAAAATTAATAAAAACGAATAAAAATTAAATTAATAAATTTTTTTTCAAGTATCGCATGAAAAAATTTTTCATGAGTGACAAAAACTGTTATTCACTTTTAATAATTGAGATTTGAGAAATTCCAGCGAAGCGGGATCGGGTCAGCTAGTAATTTATATATTATGTTATAATAAAACAAACTAACAAAGGTATAAAAAAAAGAGAAAAATTAATTCAAAAAATCAGCAATAACTAGACTACTAATATGGGCACTAAGTCAACTTTATTGTTCTAATCGTATACAGGGTGTCCCAATGAAAATAGCCCATTTCCAGAGCTCATAACTTTTAAACACCTAATCGTAGAAACGTGCGGTTTTTGCTGGTATGTGTTATGTTGCTATAAGTTTTGCTTCAGTGACAGAAATGATGTATTACCTATACAGGGTGTTTTTTAAAAATATCCCCTTTTAAATTCACCATAACCAAATTTTATCAAATGGAACACCCTTTAGATGTTTAAGTCATCTGAAAGATACACTCTTCTACTTTTCAAAAATGTATAATTTGTATATGGTATTTGTGACGAAGTCACTATTTTTTATTTTTAATTCATCTTAAAAATGTATATTTCAATTAATTCCCGCCTGAGAACATGTAGAAGTTTCCCCGTATTTCTGTTTCCCAGGAATTACCGTTTTTCAACAATTGCGAGTACCCTCGTAGATTAAAATATTCTTATATTTGCCGAAATCCGAATGGGCATTTTTAGAGTCAATTTCGTATGGATTATCTACCTTTTATTTGTCAAGGACTATGAGGGCATTTTTTTATTTTTAAAATGTAAACAGTCTGCTGTAGCAGTGGTATCCCCACTTCGTCGTACTGGTCTTCCATCTTGCTTTACCGAAAAAGCGTAAAATAAATCCCATCTGGGAATTACGCCCTCTCCTCGCTTGCCAGCCGCCGTAAGCTCTTCTCTCGTGATTGCCGACAGTCGAAAACTATTCACCCTTAGTTAGTTCCTAGTGCCGTGAGTACCGTGATTTAGTTCATCGATCAACCCCGTTTATTTTTCTAAAGGTAGGAAACCGCTTATTTTTTTTTATTTACAATTAGTTTTATTTATTTTTATTAAATTTTCCGGATATAGGGATCCGTCAATATTTAAATAATTTTCAACTTTAATAATTCATTTTTATTCAATTTTCCGGATATAGGGATCCGTCAATATTTAAATACTTTTCAATTTTAATAATTTATTTTTAAAGAATAGATTTTCCGAATGCAGGGAGCCGTTCAAATATAAATACCGATGTATTTATTTTTTTTGTAAATATATATTTTATTACCTATTCCTGTGTTTCTCTTATTACTGGTTCTTAACCGTTCTCTTTCAGGGTACCGTAGGGTACGAGGTGTAAAGGAGATAAGTGTTTTATTTTTATTTATTCTAGTATAGTGGATACCTAGCAGTGACCGCCTGGAATTATTTTTACCTCCACTGAGTTTACTTTGAGTACACTCTGGTGTACTTCAGGGTCGCAGAGCAAACTGCGATAACAAAACTGGCGCCTGAGCAACCACTATTCGGGAATCACCATTACAGCGCCATATAGACTCGCTGATTCACTGTAGGTGAACCAGGAGCCTGTCACATATTTTACAAAATAAATTTGTAAAAATTTGGTTACGGTGAATTTAAAAGAGGAGATTTTTAAAAAACATCCTGTAGTAATAATAATTTCTGTATCACTAAACCAAAACTTATAGCAAACTAACACATATCAGCGAAAACCGCACGTTTCTACGATTAGGCGCTTAAAAGTTATAAGCTCTGGAAACGGGGTACTTTTCATTGAGACACCTTTGTATTACTTACAATGGTCTGTTAAAATAATTTGATTGGGTGTTTTTAGTAGTAATGTTTAGGGTTATTTTGTACAGTGTAAATAAAAATGGCTACTTTTTAATATCACAGTATATTATTTACTTTAAATTGTTGAGATTTTCTGGCATATTTGCCAGAAGAACATCTTTTAGTGTCCAGCAATAGTCTGTTAGCATATTTAGTTTCTACATCCTCTGACTCAAAATCCAATAACAAGTTGGAATAATCTGCATGAGAATGAATTATATTAAATAAAACTTTAAGATCTCTTTAGTTTCTTCTATTTAGAAGCGCCTTGAAATGATAAAGAGTCGTCATAATTATTATATCTAAAATTAACAGGGTCAATACCAGATTTGAATGCAACAATGCGTAAACATTTGGTTTTTTTACCTCTTCTATATTAATTAAAGAACCATAAAGAATTTTTAAATAAATCACATTCTGAAAATCATTAGTATTTCTTCTATGAGTGTAATTTATGTAAACAAATTACTTAACCTAAACAAAGAGGTTAAGAATGCCTGTTGTCCATTCTATTTATAATGAAATTTTATTTACTTGGATGGTTCTCAATTATCTGCATCAGATGTCTACTAATAGCTACAATTACTAAAATCATAACTATTGATTTTCTGTAGATACAAAATAAGAATATACATCAAATTGTAAAAGAAAGAAAATATTAAATTAGATTATGTTTAAATTAAATTGTATCTATTAAAATGGCTTAATTGTGATTTATTCAGAATGAAACTATAATAAAGAGTTCATTAAACTAACATAGTATAACCACAGTTTATAGCTAAAGAATCAGTTCGCTCACTCTGCGTTGGCACTTTTGATCTCAATGTTCCAGTTTATACTATGAAGACTAGAGATAAGGAGGCGAATCGGCCTTGGTCAAATTTAAAATTTCCCTCCCTATTTTTATGGAGTTCCAAAAACCTACTGTAGTTGGCGGGTGGCAAAATAACGACGTCTATTTTCTATGTAAGTCAATGGGAATTAAAGTGATTTTTGTAAAATTTTGTGAAAAGAATAAAAATAAGCTGAAATAAAGAACCTGACTACAAGTAACAATGAGTAACCAAAAACGACAAAGCAGGATTTTCTTCGTGTTGGGTTGCAAAACGGGATATAAATCCGATATAAAATTAAAGAAATCACAAGGAGATAAAAATACAAGTCTTTTTAAAGATCCTA